CAGTCTCGTTACACTAGTGTTCCTCAGAAGCTCTCCGCCTGTGCTGACCAGGCCGACTTCCACTCCAAACAGCATATCAAGGCCCGCTACTGTTATCAGGAGAGTTGCATTCTGACCTGAAACACAAACACAGAAAGTCTAGAATAAATCATGTTTCAAATGTGATCTTTAAATCTAGTGGCAGATGAATTTGTAACAAACAAACTTGACATTGTAACAATAGCCTAACACTTTTGGGTGCTATATAGAACCCTTTTTAAAAAGGTTCTATATAGAATCATCTACAGCACATTCTCCATCAATCTAAAGAACGCTTTCATGATGCAAAGAACCCTTTAATCATGCAAAGGGTTCTTTGAGTGTTCAAGGTTCTACATAGAATCATTTTCTTCACTAAAGAATCCTTGAAGAACCATCTTTTTAAAGAGCGCACTATAGAAACACGGAGTCATCAGAATGAGGACCACAGGGGGTTTCATATGGAGTGTAGGCAGGCTTACCTTACCTGCAGGGGGCCTGGCTGATATTGGAGCAAATCCAGGATGTGGTCCACCAAACACCTCAATAAACTGGGACATAAAATTCAGAGCACTGCGTCCTGCAGATGAACACATATTTGCCCATTATCCCACAATGCTTCATAATAACATATCCATAATACCAAAATCACAGTGTTCAGGCTCTTATTTCATTATATACCTGTGACTCTGAGAGAGTAAGCCTGAGGAGATCTGATAGTGATCTGCCATCTGCCTGTTAGGTTCCCTTCATTCAGAGACACCCTATATAGATTCCCCACTGGAAACACTGAAGCCAGATGGCCTGATCCAGCTGTATTATCCTGAGACTCACCTGAAATACAGCACATATTGAAGCAGAGTTTGGTTAGCATGCATTTTGTGCAAATAAGGTATTGTTCAAGAGATGCCCTTCATTTGGCCATTTCTGAGAAAAGGAAAGAAGAAAATTTGCAAATGAAACAAGGAAGCTTCTGGTATTCTCAGAACAATGGACTGACCACCTCAACATCACTGAATGTGTTTGGGATGACACGGAGAAGCAGAAAGTGCAACCAACATCTAAGACTGAACTTTGGAGGTGTGGAAAAATATCCCTGCAGTTTTCTTTGAAAAGCTGAAAATAAGTGTCCTGAAATTAATAAAACCCACAAAAAAGCAAACAGTGGACACACTAAATACTGAATAGATTTCATATTATATTTGGTTGTTGGGGCTTCTGTGTAATTTTCTGTTAAATATATGTTTTCTGCTTTTTCTAGATGCTGAAAAATAAATAACTTATACTTAATAGTCATTAGAATAGAAATTACATCAATGAAAGTGTCTTTTGCACAGAACTCAAGTATACTATCAGTCAAACGTTTGATTAAATGTATGGTTATAATAATCTTAAAGACCCTTTTAATCTATAGGCTTATAATATAATGGTTAGAAATTGTTTCTAAGACCAACATACACAGTGAAGTTAATATCTATATATCAATTTTTCCTGAAACAAACATTTTAAATAAAATAAGCCATTTTAAATTAGAACTAGTGGATCAAATTACTGTGTGTGTTACTATGTGAGCCTCATTAAACGGTAATCTTCTAACTATCTAACTCTGTAGCTGTGTCTCTGTAAATGTGTGTGTTACCTGCAGGGTTCTGCAGTGTGAAATTGATTGACAGCCCTGTGATGTATAAGACCACATTCTGAAGCCTTGGATCCAACAAGAAGGAGAAAGTATCAGGCCTTGTGGATTCAACCTGGAGCACAGTCACCTAGAAAAAACAGAACCAGGGGAAAAAATTGATGATGCAGTGAAAACTGAAATATATATACTGTATCTCTGCTGTCAGAAGAAAACCTCCATTTTTGATGTTTTTCAGTTTTTGACATAATTTGAAAATGTCTGTTGTTCTTTACATTGCGTGTAAATTTCCTGATGAATGGGCCAACAGAAACGGCCCAAAATGACTTGGAAAAATTCTGGTTCTATTGACTTACATTAAAGTAAAGTAGGTTTTTTCCTTTTCCTGTAAAGTTACCATTTTGGAGATACAAGATATTCTTCCGACAGCAGCAATATACCATATATACATACATACATATATATGGAGAGAGAGAGAGAGAAAGAGAGAGATTAATAGAAAGAGTACATGAAAGAGTAAAGAGTGTTCCTTACCATTGAAGATATAATGGAATCTTCAATAACTGCAGTGGCCAGTGGAAGTGTGTCTTTGGTGACCTCGATGGCCTGTCCACCTGAGAGTTGAGCCAGCTGCTGGTAAATAGAGTTGGTCGGGTTTGTCAGTGCACTCCTCCTCCTCCTCGTCCTTCTTCTGTTTAGAGCATTAGTCAGCAAGAACGATACCTGTCCCACACAGACAGACAGACACACAGTCAGACAAACAAACAAAACACATATAAACACATATAACATGCTGTTAGCTCAAGTTCAGTTATTATAATAAACTACTTACAATAAACTAATAAACAATTATCAATTAGTAATTTATTTGTAGCACTGAAAGAAGTGTTCAAAATGCTTTGAAGTTACTGGATTCAAATACTAAAATTGACCATTTGATCGATTGATTGACCGCTTGTTCTACCTATCTATCTAGAGTCATGAGAAAAAGAAAGCACACCTTCCTTCAGTTTTCTGTTTTATTAATTTATTTGTTTTTATTTATTAGGGCTTAAATAACATTTGCATGGTCCTCTTTGAACTTAAGATCTGGACTTTGACCAATTTTTTGGCCATTCCAAAACCTTGAGTTCTTTCTTCTTTAGCCATTCAGATGCCAATTTGCTGGCATGCTTGGAATCATTGTCCTGTTGCATGAGGGAATGGCCTTTTTTCTAGCCACCCTCCCATGAAAGCCATACTTGTTAATTCTTTTTCTAATTGTACTGTCATGAACAGAAACATAAAACGACAGAGATTAATGTACTTACAGCGGCCTGTAGATCACGTGATGCAGCTCTTTTTATCTATTGCATTAAATGTTCTGACCTTGGACTGAATTTGCTGGGAGACTCACTCCTGGGAAGACTGGCAACCATCTTCAAGACTTTCCCTTTGTAAACAGTCTTTCTCATTGTATGGTGAATTTCAAATTGTTTGCAGATGATCTTATAATCGTTCCCAGATTGAGCAGCAAAAATGGCTTCTCTGAGGTCATGGCTGATGCCCTTTCTTATTGGCCAGATGTGGACACACACCTGAACGCTCCAGAAGACCAAACTGCCAAAAGTTCTGCTTTTATAGAAATAGTCAAACTTCTTGATGATTATCTAATCTTCTGCATTTGATAGGTAACACCGAACTGCTAATAAGTCTCTTAACGATTTTGGAAGTAGGAAGGGTGTACTTATTTTTTCCTATCTGGTTTCTGAAAGTCAGTTTACTTTTTGAAAAAAAAAGAGTAAATATTGAAGTCTGCTGTTTTTTCATAACCTGAGTTCATTTCTTTGTTTATAGAAGTTGGTGAGGACTACATAATTGTTATTTAGGCCCTGTTAAATAAAAACATAGAAGTAAAGGAGGGCGTGCTTTCTTTTTTTCATGACTATATGTTAGTTAACTGGCTAAAAGCTGTGATTAAATTAACTAAAGATTACACAATTGCTCCTCAAGGCAGATCTGTTAGCCCTATTACTGTGGTAGTTCTGCTTAAGAGGTGGTGGGCCTAAACCATGAAACAAGACAAACATATGCTAAGTTAATAAAACTATCTCAGCTCATTAGGCTGTGTTTGACGAGAGTCTTCCAGTGATGGCAGCTATTACTTTTTCTGCCTAGCACATTTAAAGTCTGTTTATAAGCAAGTAAAATGAATCTGAATTATTGAAGGGTTCATTGGTCATTCACCAACCATTATTAGGAAGAAATTTCTTCTTAAAACCCACTTACACAGTTTTTATGAAGATTCTGATATTTATCAGTGTTTTCTTATTCGGGATTTGTTCTTAGGTAAGAACAGAATCAACACACACCAGAGCAAAAAGGTGTGAACAGTTCTGTGGTTTAAGAACACATCATGAATCTGATTTAGACTTTCTCTTAGGACCTTTCTGAAGGCCCATTGTTTCTATCTAGAACCACAAATGGTTCTTTGCACGGTGAAATTGTTCCTCAGATTGATAGAGTGCATGGTTCTATATAGAACCTTTTTTGAAAATGGTTCTATATAGCACCAAAAAGGGTTTTTTTATTGTTACAAAGAGCAGATGTCAGAGTGGTTAATAGACTCACCCTAGACCTGGTGCTTTCCACAAGTGAGATCACAGTGGCTTGTAGTTCTGTGTCTTTAGGAGAGGCATTTGTGAACACAAAGATGTCTGATGAAGGAGGGGCAGTTATGAGGGCCAGCTGGTTGGGGGTAAATAAAAACATTCATGAAACAACAGAGGAAACTTTGCAATTACAGACAGATAAAATTAACACATCATCATGTACTCATCTCCACACTCTCTTACCTGCATTGCAGAGAAGATTAAAGTTGGAATGTTTCTGCTTCTATCAACTGTAATAGCATTGACAGCCTGCTTCATTTCCTCTGGATCTGTGGTACTGGTCACTGGTCCCACCACTACAAACACACACACACACACACACACACACACACACACACACACAAACATATCCATTCTTTGTTATACTTACATAAATGCTGTACGTGCAACACATATATTGAGTTCAGATATTTTAGGCATTTAATATACTTCCAGTGTATATAGCCACTTTAAATTTACACACAGTCTCTTTTGGCTTTGTACTTACTGTACAAAAAGGTATGTATTCATGAGCACAAACAAAGATAAATTTAAAAAAACAAAACTGATAGGAAAAAAGTTTTCGGATACCACATATGAATAAGTTCAGTACTTAGCAAAGGCCGTTGTTGGCAGTTACAGCTATGAGACATCTCCATTTTTGACGTTTTTCTGTTTTTGACATAATTTGAAAATATCTGTTACAAATATTCACACTAACCAAGGTCATTGAATACAATCAAGATGTACAGGGAAGGCTCATTTGGAGTTCCTCTGGTATTGTCAATGATTTTCGCGGTGAGTCTCTGCACCTCTGCAATGTCATTAGGCAAACTACTGGTAGTATCAATGACCAAACAGAGTGCTTCAGAACGAGTAACACCCAACATACTGTAAAAAGAGAGAGAGAGAGAGAGAGAGAGAGAGAGAGAGAGAGATATTGCCGGGATCATTGGTTTGATGATTAACTGCAATGTTATTTTGAATGGTTTAGATCAACAGTTTAGATTATGTAGATCAAGAGATCTTTCAACCAATCTCATTTTAGTTCAGCACTTTACCCATATTATTACAACTGGTACTGTCTCATTTTACTGACTACCCATTGCAACAATGATCACTTTACTCTCAGATGCTGGAACAACTTTTTTGGCATAAGGAATTTATAAAATTATAAATATATATATATATATTTGAAACAATATTCAGAGCCTCTTTACTATTTTCTTTACTTTGCAGAACTGTTCTATAAAAGCCAATATAACATTCAAGGTCATATGTTATCATGAATAACATCACAACTGGAATAGTCAACAGCTGTGATAGTATCTGTGATAACACACTCTCTCTGATGCTATGTTGCTTAAGTAAATAAGAAGACATGCCATGCTTCCAGTATTAAGGAAAACAGATAAAACAGTTTTTTTTTCCATTTCCTCACTATTAAACCTTAGAATTTCCACATGTCTCTTAAACACACAAATGTCTGACTATAGTGTATATTTTATCAGTTTTATCTATCCTTTTTATAAAAGGCAGATGTTTTTTCTGCACTAGCTCACTGCACTAACTGTGTGTGTGAACATGTGATTGTCTGTGTGTGTTGTATGTTTTGTAAGTTTTTAATGTGTCTACCAATAGGAGACAGGAGTGTATACCGTAAGAACACTGTGTTTCCGAATGTGATACGGATGTTCTGCAGAAGGTCTTTCGTGGCTTGAGTTGCAGTGCTGTAAGCAGCCAGGTGAGGGTCTGTACCATCTGGGGTCAGATCATCACCAAAGTCCTTGCTGATCCCACCCCTGGTGCTGTCACCATGGTAACATTTACCTAAACACAGAGAGAGAGAATACAGAATAACTCCAAACTTGCTCCATCAGTGAAGCTGTAAGCAGTGTTTGTGTGTGTTTTGTGGGTCGTACCTTGTGGTGTAGAGATCAGGTATCCTGAGGTCAGTGTGTTTGTTCTGAGTATCTCTGGTAGAATAACATTAGGACACACCTTCTCCTGACAGTCATTACAGGTTGGGGTGTTTTCATCTAAACAGAAACAGAAACTTTGTCAGACTGCGCTGTAACATGCGCTGTAACATGCACATACACCAGGCATAACATGGCATAACATTATGACCTTGTTTCTACGCTCTTTGTCCATTTTATCAGCTCTATATGTGCACTTTGTAGTTCTACAATTACCGACTGTAGTCCATCTGTTTCTCTGCATACTTTGTCAGTCCCCTTTTACCCTGTTCTTCAGTGGTCAGGACCCATGTGGACCCTCACAGAGCAGGTACTATTTGGGTGGTGCATCATTCTCAACACTGCAGTAACACTGATGTGGTGGTGGTGTGTTAGTGTGTGTTGCACTGGTCTGAGTAGATCAGACACAGCAGTGCTGCTGGAGTTTTTAAACACCTCAGTGTCACTGCTGGACTGGGAATAGTCCACCAACCAAAAATATCCAGCCAACAGCGTCCTGTGGGCAGCGTCCTGTGACCACTGATGAAGCACTAGAGGATGACCAACACAAACTGTGCAGCAGCAGATGAGCTATCGTCTCTGACTTTACATCTACAAGGTGGACTGACAAGGTAGGAGTGTCTAATAGAGTGGACAGTGAGTGGACACAGTGTTTAAAAACTGCAGCAGCACTGCTGTGTCTGATCCACTCAGACCAGCGCAACACACACTAACACACCACCTCCACCACGTCAGTGTTACTGCAGTGCTGAGAATGATCCACCACCCAAATAGTACCTGCTCTGTGGAGGTCCATGGGGGTCCTGACCACTGAAGAACAGGGTAAAAGGGGGCTAACAAAGTATGCAAGAAAAACAAGTATGTAAGAAACAAGGAGGTGGTCATAATGTTATGCCTGATCAGTGTATATTCACATATGGTCACATACACACCTGCAATGTTCTGGAGTGGAAGGTCAGGGCGCAGTAAGTTTGGGTAAGGGTCCAGATTTCCCAGCTCAAACCAGTTACTGTGACTGTAGAAATCCTGCAGACAACAAAACATGAAGCCAGAGAATGTTCAGCACACTGAGGAACAGAAGGAGCAAGAATATGAAGTGAACTACATGGCTAAATATATGTGGCCATATGAACATGTCCACATGATTTGATGTGGGTGACATCTCTTCCCAAACCATAGCCAGGGCCCATTGACTGGCAGGAGCCTCAGGGGCTCCCAGACCACAAGACGGCTCAAATACTTATTAGTATGCAGATATAAACATTAGATAAATGCGTAGCCATTTAATATGCACAATATGGCTAAAAGAAGAAATGTTATCTACTTTCAGCTTTACATTATAACTGATCCTTTGACCCTTTAATGCTGATGCAAAACATGGCTATTTTTGCATTTTATGAACTGACTTTTCCATTAGTAAAGCAATTCTTGAAAGCTGTTGTTGCCTCTATTTGAGATATAAAGAATGTGAACATTCATAGATTTTTATTCAGTTTGTGTCACAAGAAAGCACATAATTAGGAATATAATTCACACATCAGTCTTGTTTTGTCATTACTCTAATTAAACAAATCAACAAAAGGGCTCACCAATCTAAATTCTGTCCTGAATGAGCTTGTGTGCTCACTTGAAAAGAAAAACACATGGTGCCACATGGCATCCTCCTGGCTCAGACTTACTCAGGAACTCCATTTCCCAGTACTCCTTAGGAGACTAGGTGATTCTGACACCTCTACAATCCGCCAATCAGCGTTAACTCTCACCTGAGTACTGATCTGTTTCACCTGTCTAACTTCTCATGTGATTAGACTCAGTTAGATTATAAGCCCAGGCTTTAGATTAGTACATTGTGAGGTATTACTTCTCCCAGTGGAGCTACTGAGCATTTCTGTTTGTGAGTTTAAAGTTTTCTGTATTCTGACTGTGTTTTTGGCCTTTTTGCCTTTCTCTTTTGGACTCTGTTTGTCTAATCTCTTCCTAATCTCTCTTCGTTTCCCTTTTTGGATTTGACCCTTGCCAGTTTCCTGATTACAAGTATTGACAACGATCTAACAAGTAAAGTAAGCATCTGTTTGCTTCTGTCCCATTACAGCATGCAATACTAAAGGAAGCCTCATGCATTTTTTATACAGTGATAGACAACACTGTAGCTCACAGAAAATCTACAAACCCAATTCCAAAAAAGTTGGAACAGTATGTAAAATTCCATGTATGTGTTTTCCATTATAAACTAATTGTTTTTTATAAATTACATGCTCATTCCAAATATGCCTGCAACACGTTCCAAAAAAAATTACACCTGTGTTAGATCATCTTTTACTTTAACAGCACTTAATAATCGTTTAAGGACAGGTATGAGGCTGTCACTGGGGCAGTTCTCCTCTCATCACTGGGGTGGTACAACTTAGGACCTTTAGTCAGGGAACATAATTGTACCATAATCCATTGAAATGATATTTTCTACTCCACACACCCCGTCTCATCTCCAGGCTTTTTATTTTATTGTTCTGTTTTAAAACATTAGGTTATGAAGAGATAAAAATATGTATTTTTTTTCTAGGAAAACTTATTTAACCTTTGAGAGTATATTTACTTATTTACTATATATATATTTACTATATTGCTTGTACTTTGATGAATGAAAAATGTACCTGCACAGAACCTTTTTTCTAACAGTTTACAAGTCTTCAGCAGAGCCACCTTACAGGGTCATTGTTCTGTTTTCTGAGCTTAATGAGGCACACATGCTCAATAGAAGACTGCAGGCAGGCCAGTTTAGCACCTACACTGTCTGATCATGTAGCCATGCTTGTGCCCTGGGGCCTCACAAGACCATGACCAGTCTCTGAACCATGGCCATTAATATGGAGTTGGATCCTCCTTTGCTGCTTCAGCCTTCATTTATCTGCAAGTGTTTGTTTATGGAGATTGCACAGTTTGGTTTTATGCACTTACTAGCAATGCCTGTAGCCAATGGCAGTAATTTAAAGGGTTTTCCAAATATAGTATGTGGCCAACCCTTCAAATTAGTGGTGTTTTTAACCCATTCCTAATGGAACACTGGCTACTCCATGTTGTTGCACCATTCCTGGTCAAAAACCAGTTATTGGATGTCACAAAGTACGGTCCTCTTTTTCCAGGACACATCTTTTTGGGACCTAAAGGACACTTCTGGATGGGAATCCATATTTGGCTTTGCTTTCATGTTGACATTTGCTTCCTACAGTCTGGCCTGGCTGCCCTCCTGACCCCAGTGTCCTCTTTCTTTTGAAAACAAAAATATGGTCATCCCATAGACTATATTTTTCATGTATCTTGAAGGCCAGACTTCTTCTCACCTGGAGAGTATGGGTGACCGCCCCAAGTGCCCGTCTAGCTGCCTCCAGGTTGCCTTGCTGCAGGCTGGCTTTGACGATGGAAACACCCTGAGTAATGATGTCCCGCCCTTTTTCAATTGCTTCATCATTGAAGTGGTGGGCGGAGCTGAAGGCCTGGTCTCTGTCAATGAAAATGTTCTCAGTAATGATCTCGTTCAGCAGCTCCCGGAACTTTGAGGCTGACAGATCTGCATCTTCCAAAACACCTAAACAGGCGCGCAGCAGGCTCTCCGGGTTCAGGAGGGCCTACAACACCCACAGCAGACACACCAAAGAAATCAAACACACATTAGCCTTTTTCACAACTGCTATAGGCTGTCATATATAAATGTGTTCATGGTTGTGACATCACAGCCACAAAGAATTAAAAATGGGCTGATTTGGCAGCATTTGGATCTCACTGGTGGATTGAAGGTCCGTCCATTGTTCTGTGCTTCTTCTCTACAAGCATCCATTACTACTTCAAGCAGCGCCTCCTCTGTGATATCAGCATGGGTGAGGCCCTCTACATCCAGTGAGGGGATGGACAGAAATGCCTGGGACCAGCCAATCAGGGCGCAGAAGAAGAGCAGTGGGTACGCCATGTGACCTCTTCATGAAAAACAAGAACATACACATAGAATCAAACACAGAATCAGACAGTCCTGATTTTGTTGTGTGTGACATGAGGTGAAGCTCAGGAAAGACGCAATGTTTACATGCTTGAAATTCACCAATTCAACTGGCTAAGGAATTATTCTCACAAAAGCTGTGGGGCAAACTTAAAACATAAACAACAACCAAAAAACCCAGAAATTATATAGACTAAATGAAAAGCAGGATAACAACTGTGTGTTCTTGATTAGTACCTGTCTTTTTATGAGGGCCTTGTTTCTGTACACTGTTGTATGAGTTAAGAAAGCAAGTCAAGTTGATATTAACTGAACTGACCCATTTTAAAAGATACTTGCGTTATCCTAAATGTTAAATCAGCCAAAGTCAAATAAAAGACAATAAATTGTCTCATTGGATTTCCACCTGGAATCATGAGACACATATCCAAATAAATTAAGTAAATTGCACTTAGAGTAGAAAACATTGCGCATTACTGAACTATTTTGAGTTAGGGGACATTTTCGTGATGATTTTATGTATTTAAATGAATTTTTTTGAGTTGAAATTTAGCTTAATCTGTTGCCATCAGCAGCTCGTGAGATTGGCACATGAGTCAAGAATTTATTGGCCTCTGGCTCCACCATTTGTATTTACTTATTTACTTACTATCTCTATGTTGTCCCTCCAGGTGGGCTATCTTCCCTTTTGGTTAATCATCTAGTTTTGTTATAGTTGTCCTAAAGAGCATAGTACTACCTTCTCTATGCCTGATGGTGGTTCTAAACTAACTGGGCACTACAGAGACCACTTTTGACCCAACTCAAATAAGAGAAGTTGAACCAAGATAATTTAAATCAACACTACTAAGTGAAGTTCAACAAACTTTAATGAGTCGAGATGGAAATGTGATAGCAGATTAAGATTAGCCAATTATATTGGATCAACAAAATTGTCTAATTTTGAATGAAAGCTATATAATTGTGTGGAAATTCAATTTAGTTCAATTTTTTTTACTGTGCTAAACTCTTCATAGGAAGGCCTCTCTAACAGAATGTGCCTTCAAAGACATGTTTTCTGGGCTGTGGATATTTAATCAGTGATATTAGCCACCAAAGCAGGTCTGAGGTGAAGAAGAAAATCTAGCTAATTAACTAATGATGTGCCTAATGTAAAAATGTGAGGAGAAAAGTGTAGAGAAAACAACACTGTGCAGCGGAGGAGGTTAAATCATTATTTAAATCACTACTGTATATCCTCATTGATATTTCCTCAGCACTCTCTAGCAGTGAGCTTAATTGAACTGTATTGTTTCCTGTCCAGTATTTTCAAAGCTAAGAGTTTCCTGTAAAGATAACATTCACCTGCTTCATATCTACTGGTCAGAGTTTCCTTGTTTGCTAACTGTACGTCAGTGGCCTTGTGGCTTGACTTACTTCTAAACACATTGCTTCCTCAATTACACACCAAAAAGAATGAATGTGATCCAATCCTGTAATAAATCTATCCTGAAATAACACTCACACTTAAGAGCTGTGTAGTTCTTCCTGTGGGTAGTAGAGTGTTTAAGAAGTTTGAGCATGATAGTCTACCTTTAGAGGCTCATCTTAAGTGAAGTGCATCTATTACAAATAGCTCATTTCAAAGCTATGATCTATTAGCTTATTACAGATTTAATGTATTATATTTACCTATAACAGTAATAATCAATTGTCTTATATCAGTTTTAGTGAAATCTATTAACATATAATAGATTTACTATATTCAGTTAATCAATAATATTTTTTACTATCATCTACTAGCCTATTATAGATTTACTATAATCTATTAGTCTAGGACAAATTTATTATAATTTATTAGTCTATAACAGTTTTACTATGATCTATTAATCTATAAGTTTTGCTATATTAATCTATAACAGTTTTACTACAATCTATTAATCTATAGCAGTTTTACCATAATCTATTAGTCTATAACAGATTTACTATAATCTATTAGTCTATAACAGTTTTACTATAATCTATTCGTTTATAACAGTTTTATTATAATCTATTAGTCTATAACAGATTTATTATAATCTATTAATCTATAACAGTTTTGCTATAATCTATTAATCTATAGCAGTTTGACCATAATCTATTAGTCTATAACAGATTCACTATAATCTATTAGTTTATAACAGTTTTACTATAATCTATTAGTCTATAACAGATCTATTATAATCTATTAGTCTATGACAGATTAACTATATTGTATTAGTCAATGACAGATTTACTATGATCTATGAGTCTATAACAGTTTTATCATAATCTATTAATTTATTACAGTTGTACTATAATATCTTGGTCTATAACAGATGTGACTTTTTAATATTTGGATTTGAAGTATGTTAATATATGGACAGTTCTAATAATTACTACTCATATTAATGCATGAGTGAATGTAAAGTCTGAGTATGACTTTTTATGCAGTCCTACCTTTTGGGAGATAAAGATGTAGATGATCAGGTGGTTTAATGCTGTTCTGATGGTGCTCAGAATTGCTCTCAGTGTGAGTCTGTAGTGACACATGGGTCTGTCCTGTATTTATACACACAGGGATATAACTGAGCATACACTGGAATAATGAGGTGTTAGAGGAAAAGTCATAAACATGAGCGGTTTACGATTAGTTATAATTTATATTACAGATATAAGTATAAGCAGGAAACAGACTCAAAAGCAGATCAAGTGATCTAGTATGAGATTATAATCTGTATATAAATATTCACACATATATACAGTGGGGTCCAGAAATCTAAGACCACATAGAAAAAGTGGCATGTTTTTCACTTAAACCTGGAAATTAACAACAGAAAAGTTAAAAATTTAGAGCAAAGGGACTGCTTGCTGTACCAAATACTAAGAAATTATGAAATTAATTTTCTAATTTGGTAAGACTCTAATTTTCACTCAAATTGTTATGCTGAGAATATAGTTTGTAGTGAAAAACTTTGTGTTAAATTAGATTGGAATGCCAAATTAGAAGTACTTTCATTAGGGGTCTCAGATCTTGGGACCCCATTTTATGTATAATACATACATTCAGTATTTTCTTTTTTGTCTTTTTTAGTGTTTTCTCTCTTTTTTGCATTGCTGTTTTTTTTTGGTTGTAGCTTCTCCCTGTTGGTGCTGCTTTGTTTACTGGTTACTGGTTTTCTCTTGTTCATTTGTTTGTTTTAATGCTTTCTGGAGTGGCCAAACAAATGTAAACATCACATTACATCAGCATGGTGTTGGTGTGTTTGAACAGGAAAAAATATGCTTTTTCTGACACACTGCATTTGCATTATATTGCTTAAATGCACTTAACTGACATCAGTTTTCCAGATATGGTGACACACCTCACGCACGCAGGCATGTTTAGCAGTCCTGGAGTTCCTTATTGAGGCACAATGATCTATTATCACACCCAGGATTCCCTAGAAATCCACATAAATCATCTGTGTCTGGAATAACTGTTTTCCTTTTGTCAGGAATATCTCTTTCAATTAACTTCACATTAATGCTTTCTTGGATCTCTGGCACAGCACAACTAAAAATGCTTAAAACGATCATATTATCACAATTAATTTGATTATATCCCATTTTCATAAGGTAAAGATGAATGGTTTGGATGTCTTAACCCTTGTGTGGTGTTGATGTGTTTGTTACTCAGTGGTCAGGTGGACCCACCATATTATTGTTTTTTTAATCAATACAGCCATAACAATCTATGTAAAAATACCAGATGTTTAAAATATCATAAGTGTCCAGCGTAGGGTTCTCCTTTAGCAGCTGTAGCCAGTCAGCAGCCCGTGCATGTTGTCCACCCTCACACACACACACACATACATATACAAACACACACACACACACACACACACACAGACACACACACACTAACAGCAGGCCATGTAGGAGGAGAACAGAGTGAAGGACACAGCACCTCCACACTTTTATTCCCCACGGGTTCACCCAACACCACATGTGTAATATAAATGTGTGGGGGTGAACAGTGTGAAGACACTAAAAATGTGTTATTTCATATGTTTTTCACAGAAAATGAGCACAGGCAGATAAATCCGAGGTTGAAATTATAATAAATTGCATATTTTTTTCTTTAGGTAAACATTGAAAATGGGTCCCACTGACCTGAACACCACACAAGGGTTAAGGGATATGATATTTATACATATCATTGCTGTCCAAAAATCAATATCAGCTGCCTTTTACATTAATGTGAAAATGTCATGAGGAATGGACCAATAGAAATGCTCAAAAACTGCTTGAAATAAAATCTCTTTACATTGACTTATATTAAAAGTATGTTTTTGCCCTCTCCTGTAAAGCTGTCATTTTGGAGATACTTGTTTTTCTGTGGACAGCGACCATATAATATGTTCTTTTTTCCTATACTCAATTAACCCATCACAGTTTTGCCATAATCTCATAGACCATAATAGGTTTTCTATAATCTACTGGTCTTGATATGGGATGGGCACCTCACAGAAAGAAGGGCCTAGGTTCGATTCCCTGGCTGAGCAACCATGGGCAACCTGTGTGTTTGCATGTTCTCCTTCCACAGTCCAAAGACATGCATTCAGGCTAACTGGAGATAGGTGTGATGCCCTGTGATGGACTCCATCATGGTCCATCAAATCCTCACAGCAGTTTTCCAACATTAAGTCTTTTAAGTCTTCAATGAAAAGTAGAGGCTGTTACTGCAGCAAATGGGCATAAACTCCCTAATAACCCCAATTTCAGAAGAAACGTTAGATGAGCAAAATTTAGATAGCCATCCAGATTAGAGGAGGAGAAGGTTGAATGGTCAATCAGGCTGCAGGAGGGATGTTTTACAAAGTAATTAAATTTCCCCTTAATTTGTGTGCAATACTTTTGCAAACGTTTTCGTTGTGCTTTCAGCGTCACGTTTTATTTTGTAAGCTAACTAATAACTCATTTGATAGACGCTC